AGGCGGGTGTCGCCTATAAACGTAAATTTTTAATTTTTTTTTTTCCAGAGCTGGAATATGTTGTGCCTAGAAAATAAAGGGCAACTGTTTCTCATAAGAGAGACGTTTTCAGCCAGCGTAAAGAAAAAAAAAACCACCATATTTTTAAAAGTGCCCTTTTGCTTTCAAGGTTGTGGGTTTTTCCTCCCCTCAGGATTTTTTTCGCTGTATTAATGAATTAGAAGCTCTTTCTCCAGATAAATTGCCCCGTTCTAACACACCACAAAGTAGGTATCTCCGGATTGCAAGGTTCGGGATTTTTTTCCTGCCTTTTTTCGTGGCTCTGTCAAGTCCGTGACGTGCATTTGGGATGTGACAACATTGGCAGAGTTCTGGTGTGTGGTCCTCGAAATACACTGTCCAAAAAAGCATATGGATAGATGAGTTCCCTGACACTGTGATTTGCCTCGTCTTTTAGGAGTTGCTCGTAGGCTGCAATCTTGCATTCCCATTTTTCTAAATAAGGTTGATGGGCAGCTCAAGTCATAACTCCTAAACAAGCTCTGATTTCTTTGGTAGGCTCCATTACAACTACATCTGGTGTTTCTTGCATAATATTGGATTTGTACCTATTGTTTCTCGTTTCCCTTGTGGTTTTTTTTTTTTTTTAAAAAGCAAACACTTCCATTTAAAAGCGAGTAGTCTCACTTTCTGTTGTTCTGAGTTAGATTTGGCCTCTGCTTCCTCTGCTTTCTCTTCCAGATAGAGCTGTTATACTGCTGGGAAGAAATATTCCCTCAATCCTGAGGATGACTAAAGGAGTGGATCCAAAGATAAGCAGAAGGCTTTGCGTTAAACCCCAGGAAGAAAGTCAGCTTCAGGCAAAAAGTAAGAGTTTTTGATAACAATCATGCTATGTTTCATGCCATGAAATACATAGCTATCCAGGCTGCAATCACCTGTACAGGAATTTGGCTGGCATAGATGCTCATATCCCTGATTTCGTGAGAGGGAAGTCTGATCTTTAGGCTGAAAAACTAAGCGTTGAGCTTAGCAGTGAAATCTTGGGGTTTAACAAGTCAGGGGTCAGTATTTCTTCTTGTGACAAGAACGGCTTTCTCTGTAGCAGGTCGGTAGAGCCTTGCCTGACGTGCAGTCCTACGTGGAGCTGTGCTCCAGAACTGACTGTTCCACCCCAGCGTAAGCTGTCGGTGTTCAGGAATGTTGCACGAGCTGAAATACTCGTGCAGTTTTTCACGGTACAACTGGCTCCAGCCGATGGCAAAATTGAACATGCCCTGCAGGGGGGAGTCGGTCTGATTCATTGGCTTGCTTCGTGTTTAAGGATGGAGTTGGTCAGGTGAAGCTCAGGCCATGAAACGTTTTTCCAGCCTATATGGGACAGTTAGGATGCTCTGATCAGACTTCCTGTCTAACTGGTTCCCTTCGTGGCCTACTGGTGCTGGAAAAAAGGAGCATGCAGACGTGAAGGATTTTGCATACTTCTGTGTTAAAAACATAATGCAGCTGTACTGGTTAAGACCAGAAGTCTCCTTAACAGTGTTTAAATGATCCTCAGTGGATTTTTCTTCCATAAATTTGCCCGGGCTCTTGAAGCTGGATGTATTTTTAGCATCCTTGTTCTCCGAGGAGGAATTCCTCAGCTGAACCGTGCTGTGAGAGAACCAGCACAGTCTTGTGTTTGTTTTTGCAGCCGATCTGTGCTTTTTTCCACCTGATGCTCCTTTATCCAGTACCCCTTCCCAAACAGGACCTGTTCCTTACAGCTCCGCACTCCCAGTGTCACTTGTGATTCCGTTGTGCTGAAGGGAGCGTCAGTCGCTGCTTTTCCAGGCCAGAGGGTCTCAGTCTCTGATCCTGTTCCTGACATGGTGGCCATTCCATATCTGTGGTCATCCGTACCAGTATTCACAGAATCCCAGAATGTCAGGGACTGGAAGGGACCCCAAAGGACCATCTAGTCCAATCCCCCTGCCGGAGCAGGACCACCTAGATAGATCCCACCAGAACGCATCCAGGCGGGTTTGGAACATCTCCAGAGAAGGAGACTCCACAACCTCTCTGGGCAGCCTGTTCCAGTGCTCTGTTCCCCTTACTGGGAAGAAGTTCTTCCTCATGTTTAAGCGGAACCTCCTATGTTCCAGCTTAGATCCATTTCCCCTTGTCCTATCACTGGATGCCACTGAGAAGAGCCTGGCTCCATCCTCATGGCCATTCTCCGTGACTCAGGACTATTCACCCTCATCCTATTCTGCGTGCCCGTTGTGTTTCTGAGTCGAGGGACCAGTATTTCACCTGCTGTTCAAAGTGCTGGAGTTTCACACCATGGCACAATACCTTTGTGTTGACCTGCGTTCCCAGCCCTCGCTAGCAACGCCGTTTCCCTTTCTGACTGTCACTGAGCATTTTGCCAAAAACTCTATGGAATCCTGAGAGCTTGCTCCTCAGCGATACTGGTCAGGTTACCCTGTCATTTGCACGTGAACTGGAATTGCTCCCTGTTTATGGGGTTTCGCCAGCCATCCCATTGACTCGGGATCTTGGCACTTAGCCCTCCCCTTTCTGTTCCTGAATAACTCAGTGTTGTCAGCAAACCGTGTATCCACCCCCCTTCCTAGATCATTCACGAATCCACCAGGCAGCACACGTCCATACTGGATGCCTCCCATGGTTTAAAAAACCAAGAAAAATAAAGAAGCTGTCTATCTTTGCACTTTACTGCGAGATTTTCATGGGATGTTGTCTATGGAAACCATCCCCTGTGACACTCTGGATGTTTTTTGTATGGAGTTTGAAGGATTGAGCTGAAAATGAAGGGCCTGTGGTCATGTTTGTTTGTACCTCCAGATAAGATAAAAACTTCCCCTGCCTGGAAAAGCTAACACTGTGTGATGTGAGGGGGAAGCATATTGGCTTTTCTGTGGCAGTTCCGTTTGATTTATTGTTTTTTAAAAACTAATTCAAGTGTCATAGGAAAATCTATCCCAGCACTTAGGAAGCTTAGATGCTGGAGCAGGTCCTATGAATTTAGAGCTAGAAATACAGAGGTCTGGGGCAAGATTTGGCTTTCCTCACACGGCCCCAGGTGAATCCACGTTTAGAGGTTTGTTAATCGGACTGCGATACGCTTTTTGTTCACTGACCAGCTCTACCATTGCTCACCCTAACTGGTTTCATTGCAGCCGTGCCAGTTCAGCTTCTCTGACTGTTTCCTCTCGTGACTTTTTGTTTTTGTTTCTTTGTGCGTTTTGTTGGGGTGTTTTTAGGTCGGACTCCTTTGAGGGTGCCTGGACACAAGCCTACAGACTGGGAGAAAAGATTTTTGTTGTGGGCAGGCAATTTCAAAAAACCAGAGGATATACCAGAGACTGTCTCGTAAGTGCCAGTTTTGAAGCTCTAAAGGAGACATAAGTTAAGAACAGAGTTACTTGAATGCAACTCCAGAGTAACTTTTCCTAAATGGAATGGGTGTTCCCAGTTGAAAAATCTTACTCTGCTGTGGTTGGTGCATCGTCTTGTAGATGACACGACCTGAGCAATTCTGTGTTGCTGAGATAATGGAACCCTTCTGATTTTTCTTCTGAAGGGATGACCAGCATCTATCAGTTGTTTCATTAGAAAAACATCACAAATCAGTTAATTTTTACTCTTCCCTCCTAATCAAAAAAGCTTTTTGCAAATATTACTGTGAGCTTTTTCTGGCGTTTTTTTGTAATGTGTCAGTCTCCCATTGTGTGAAAGTTTCATGATATAGCTCTAAAATAACTGAAACTCATTTAAAATATTTATTAATGAACATCTAGAGGGCATGGGCCAACTTTCTTTACTCCTGGAATCTAAACTAACAAACAGTGGAAAGGCTCCTTAACAAAAAACACATGTAGTCCAAATTTCCCTCTTGCTGGTGGAGTCCAAATGTCAGTGCTTTGCCTTATGTGAAAAGTAGAGAATAAAACTGGGTGTTCTATTTGCCCATCTAAAATGAAAAACAAACTTAACAAATTAAAAAAATCATTCCTGGTGGTAATATAGTTACGTTTTAAAACGTGTAATGGTTTTAAATGTATGTATTTATTTAAATTCAAAAGATACAGCATACCTTGTACTACCTGGGTGAGCAAACCATGTAGCTGCCCTCTAAAGATGCTCGATTTGTTTGGATGCACCGTGTGGGAACTGAAAATCCACCCGTGTCTAAGCTTTTTCTGAACGTGTCACAACGGATGAACATTGTTAAAGATGAATTCTCCAATTTTGTATGGACTCGTTTTTCTTAAAATTACATCTGAAATACATAAAGGGGTGGATTATTAAATTGTCAGCTCGTGTATTTTTGCTTACCCAACGCTTGTTACGAGTGTTTGTAAGAAAGCAGAGTTGCCAGAGTGACTGAAGTCTTTCCAGTGGTTTACTGGAAGGCCAGAACAACTTCTGAGAACAGCTGCCCGTTTTCCAAGCGCGTGGTGAATTCGTGGTTTTCTTTGGGCAGGTAGTTCAGCCAAAGTCCAGAAGGCGACTGAGAACTACAAAAGCACAAAATCTTCCCTGTTTTGAACTGAATGAAGAGTTGCAAGGGCTTGTGGTCTAGCTCAGGAATCCTGCAAGATGTGGGGATCAGAAGTAACTCATTCATTAAACTGATGTTCATCTCGGCCACTGAATTGATTGAAAATTTGATTTAAAATGTTCAGATGACCGCCTCTTCCTCTTCTGTATTCTAACACGTCTAAAGTACTCCAAAAATTAACTAATAAAGTTTTTAAATCCTCCTTCTCTGCACTTCAGCCTAATTGCAGCCTGTGCCCAAGCTGTTCATCACAGATGATTAGCAAAAACAAATGACCTGGAAGTTAAATTTAACTATTTGTTTCATGGTAGACGGACACGTTCCCTGTCATCAGAAATCCTGTACTCGGATCAATACTCTGAAACAGTGATCGAATCAATCTTGCCCTCCTCTTCAAAAATAAGAACAAATCTTCAGTTCTTAGGTCTCTAATCCAAACTTAATTTGCTGTAACTGAGATGTTATTTGGGCAGAATGATCTGCAGAGTTTAACCCAACCTTGATTGGGTTAAATCAAACCCAATTTTTGCTTTAACTCATCACATGTACAGCTGGAAGGCTTTACTAACTGACACTCTTCTTGTGGAAGATTCCTGGGGTTTAAAAGATGACAGTAGACCAGGCAACAGGTTTCCCAAAGGAGTGGTAAGCTACTGGTGTGGCTAGATAAGCCCCCGAAATAAAAAAAGAAAAAAAAAATTTAAAGGAGTCCTCTGTCCAAAACTGATGCTGGAAAGCTCACAAGCGTCCACGCCGCCTTAGTTTCTCAGGAAAACAGGCCACCTTTACTCCAGCAGGAGGCAAGTGGCAACCAACTGGTCTCTCCCCAAGTCCTACTGAGAATTTCTGAGCAGTACGGCACTCGGCAGCCAGCGTGTAATCTCTGGCACTACAAAATCCTGTGGTGGAGGATTGTTTTTATACACATCCCTCTCCTTCGCCTGTTCTCCCCACAGTGCACGTCCAGATTTCAATACTGCAGCCCTCCTCCTCTGCATTGCAGACAAGTGGTCTAGAAAGGCAGTATTGTCTCTTAACAACTAAATAACTGAAAAGTTACAAATGTTGAGTTTGTTTCCAGCTTGGAGAGGAACTCCTTTGTGACCAGGATCTCCCAAGGTAGTGGGGACCAGCCCTTCCAGTTCTCTTAAAACCTTTTTGTAAAAGGAGCCAAGTACGGTTTGTGCTGCAGGACTGCACAGACAGCACGCTAGGAGAAACGAGCCAATTAGCCAAATGACTGATTTGGGTCTCTGATAACGAGCCTGTTCTTTTCCTGTTATTTCTCAAGGATTGAAACAATCCGAGCAGCAAAGACCACGCTGCGTGTGAAGTTCAGCTACGTGATGATTGCCTTGACAGTCCTGGGATGCATCATCATGGTGGTTCAAGGGAAGCAGGTAAGCACGGATTTTGGGCTGGTGAGTGCAAATCCATCTTCACATAAACTTCTCAGTTCCTCCTATGGATTGTCAGTACTGCTTTGTTCGGGGGGTTTTCTTTTTATCTCTGAGCAAAAATTAAAAATAAGTCCTCCTAGTTCTCCAGAAGTGACCCTCACTGATTAATTCCCAAGTCAGAAAAGGGTGGTGTCTCTGTTAGACTGTATATGCTTCCTTTGAAAAAAAAAAATTTTTTTTTTTCTCACTGCAATACTTAATTTTAGCTTGTTCTGTTTTAACTCCTTAATTTTGCTGACGTGCTGTGGGAGTTTGGAAGGAAAGAGCACCTTGTTTTGTGGATTGTGGATCTGGTAGGCAGGGAAATGCTCCGTGGGCCATGGGTTCCATGCGGTTCCGCGTGTGGCCCCAGTACAAACACCTTTCTACACACTGCAGCGCTCCTAGAATCATTAACAGAAATAGCAAAGGAATATGTTTCTCCACAAACGGACTTGGGAATTCTCAAATGTCTTCCTGAACAGTGGGGCGACAGTCAGCAATAATTCCGTGCCCTTTAATTGCGTTAGGAAATAGTTGTTTTTTAGTGTGGATGGAACAACTTTTCAGAAAGTATTATTGTTTGTTGAATCGAAAAACTATTTTGTAGAAAAGCTCCCAAGTCCTGTAGACGTTGAGCATCCTTCACTTGCACAGAATTTGGCAAGGTATCAAAGTTCAGCGTGTGGCAGAACTAAGTCTGTGATTTAATTTGCATCATATGAAGAGGGTAAGTATGAAGTGTAGGATTCCAAGTGCAGCGAAGGTTAATTTTGTGTGGTTTTTAACACAGTTGGTGAATGATTAACTCTGGTATTTCTACAGAGAACCAAGCAGTGCCCTTTGGGTACTGAAGCCAAGCTAAAATTTCTCTGCAGCACTAGTCTCAAAGTCAAGGAATATATAATCTGTGCGGTTTATTGTCGTGTTGGTTTTGATAAAAAGCACAGTGGTAACAGGAACACAGGCCCCTACGTTCTTTTCAGGATGCTTGGAAGCAGAAAACCCTGAGCTGAAAGCACCCACGTGGGCAGAACTTTATTTGTGTGCTGCTTTCTCTGAAGTAGCTCTTGGGACAACGTTCAGATCTCATTTCTGTAGATGCTGAGCGTTCTGGAGAGAATTTAAACCTGTAAGTCTCAGCCCCAGCTGAGCAGCACTGGGAACTACTCAAGTGCCAAGTGACGTTTCTGTCAGCATCTGCCTCCCAGAGTGAAAAGGATGCAGCTCTCTGGAACAAAACACTGGGAAGGTTTTTCCCTGGCTTTAACAGAAGAGATCAAACATTGACGATTCCCAGAATATTTTCCTCTTACACAGGAGAAGTAAGAACACAAACTCCGGAAAGAGAGGGAGACAGCTGCTTTGGGACCCTTGTTTTCACAGCAGCTGGAATCTGCTCTGGTTTGATTTGTCTCCAGTACCTCTGGCTTTTGAAGACCAGAGTTAGTATTAACCCTAACCCTAACATTTGCCAGTGCCATTAACAAAAAGGTCTGATTTATTCCCAGAGAAGTAATGACTTTAAGCCAAACTCGTCTCTGGCTGTTTTCTTTTCTCTCCTCCTGGCAGTAAAGCTGACAGAACTGTGCCTTGGTGAGGACAGGCCAGGTATTTTGTAAACTACTGATTCAAGTTTCAGCTCTGGTCCTTTAGGTGACGCTTTCTGCTCTTGCTTTGTCATTATGTTGTAGGCTGTAAAAAGGCACGAAACTCTTACGAGCATCAACTTGGAGAAGAAAGCTCAGTGGAGAGAGGAAGCTACTCAGAGTACATCTGCTAAATCTTAGAGAAGGAAACGGAGAGACCAAGGACGGGAGAAGAAAAGCTGATGTCCTTCTCAGCGCTGGAAGGAGGATATAGTCACACCTTTCCTGTTAGTTCTGTACTCTCATGTTCAAGAAAGAATGAACACATTATTCTGTAATCATTAAAACCAGAAACACCTATTTAACAGCCTCCCCTTTCCTCCACAACCTCGTCTTCTCAGGGCTAGTGGCACAGGACAAGGGAGCAAAGTGGGCGCACAGGACAGCTGCTTCCCACCTGTGCTGTGCAGAACACTACGTGTCATAGATTCATAGATTCATAGATTTCTAGGTTGGAAAAGACCTTAGAGATCATCGAGTCCAACCATCCCTAATCCCCATTAAACCATATCCTCAAGTAGCTCATCCACCCTATTCTTAAACACATCCAGGGATGGGGACTCAACCACTTCCCTGGGCAGCTTATTCCAGTGGCTGACAACCCTTTCAGAGAAGAAATACTTCCTAACATCCAACCTGAATCTCCCCTGACTAAGCTTATAGTCCTTTAGCTGCTCCTGCCCTCGCAGCACCCCGCTGCTTGGGGAGGTCGGAACGCTCTTTCTTACCCCTTACAAGAAGGTAACTGGGAGCCCGTCCGCTTTCCACTGGTGCAAACAAAACCCCTTTGCTGGGCAGGCACCCACTATCAGGGACTGTTCCAGGCACCTTCAGGAAGAAGAAGAACGCTGTATGTGTTCTGTGTTGTTACAGGCTGCTTGAAATATTCCATGTGTTCCTCTTTGTGCAAGAGAGAACGATTGTTAGGGGAGCTCCTGAGTCAAGAATAACTGTGTGGCCGGCGTTAACACCACCCACTTTCTAAGCTATTAGAAAGTCTGCCTACCTGTTGTAAGCCCAATCTATTCTGGCTGCCTTTGTTTAAGTGGAGGATTAATTACTCTGTGTACCTCTGATGAGGAGAGGAGGGGGAGTAACAGTGAAATGGCATTCCAGGGAACCCGTGTGCTGCACACAACCCACCAGTTTGACACCAGAGCTGGCAGGGAGGTGAGAGAACATCCGAGCTAAGGGAACAGAGACGAGTTTTTGGAGGAACACGGAGCCACAGCGCTGGCCTGTGCCATCAGATTTCCTGTTCAGAGGCACAGGAGTGTGAGCGAGTCGATGAGACGTTCCTGCCCTCTGAGCTCTTTTTTTCCAATTCTCATTCAGATTTATTTGTAGTTCCTCCCTCTTTAAACTGTCATTCGTACTACTTCCATGCAAACCCAGAACAGGTCGTTTAAAATAGTGTGACCTTCACAAAAGCCGGAGCTAGAGGCGTTCTCCCAGTTAGCTCCTGTTGGAGGAGCAGCAGCACGTCCTTCAGGAAAGCAGAGAATACTGGTTTCCATGTTTTTGCACAGGACATAACCTTTGTTACTGTCAGGCCAGTTTAAAAACAATGCCTCATTTCCCATCTGCCTGGAACTTAGAGCCTTTTAACAGTTGTTGCGGTTCCAAATTTTTTAGCAACGCTTTTTGGCTGCTCCTAGCAACACCGAGAGTGTTCCTGTACAATAAAGTTGCACCACCATCAAACAGAAAATTCATCAAAATTCCCCATTTCTACTGAAGATTTCTTCCAGTACCAGTAAGCATTCCACTAGCCACGTGGAATCGTGCTAGGAGGCTGCTCAAGCGATGACGTACAGGGATC